ACAATCTAAAACTCCAGGAGTTTGCACTCTGAGCCGGGAGGGAGCAAGAGGGAAAGGGTCAGTGAGGATCAACTTCCAGCTAAACATGGCCCTTCACGGTGAACTTGGGGAGTGGCAGACACCTGATGACTGAAAGGGCCCTGGGGAGGAGGAAGACACCCTGAACCACGGCACCCAGAACACATGATTAGGGTGAGCAGCAATAATGCTCATGATGTAAGACGGGTCTGCTCACACTGGGCCCGGGGTGACTTGGTCCCCAGAAGGCATTTGGCAATGACATTCATGGCTGTCACAACGGTTGGGCGGGGGGGGAGGGGGGGGAGGACTGGTACTGGCACCTAGAACCAGTGATGCTGCGAAATCTGCTACAATGGCAGGGCACCCACCTCAACAAAGAACTATGCAGACCAAAGATCAACAGCACTGAGACTAAAGAAAACCCTGCAAAAGACTAACACCTTCCATGCATCCATCTCCAAAAACCAACAATCCTGCTGAAATGAGTATGTGCCATCAGAGGGATGGAGCTGTGCCCTGGCCGGCGTAGCTCAGTGGAGAGAGCGTCAGTCTGCAGGCCGAGGGGTCCCGGATTTGGTTCTGGTCAAAGGCACATGTCTGGGTTGTGGGTTTGGTCCCCAGTGGGTGGGGGGGTGTGCAGAAGGTAGCCAATCAGTGATTCTCTCTCATCATTGATGTTTCTGTCTCTCTCTCCTCCCTTCCTCTCTGAGATCAATAAATAAATATATATTTTTAAAAGATTAAAAAAAAAATGGATGGAGCCACTATCCTGCCACGAAATTCCACCCACTCTGTTCAGCAACACTCACCACCAAGCAAATGACATGAGGGGCAAAGGCAGCATCTGCAGAGTGCCCAGTGCTCTCCCAGCAAACACGATTAAGGGCACTCCTCGGCATCCAAGAGACCACACTCTTTCACAACCATGACACTGAAAGGGGCCCTTACACACACAGGCACACACGCCATACATGGATGCAAGCATGCACACACTGCGCGTGTGCGCACGCACACACATACACAAACACACACGAACATACAGGAAGAGCCATCTTAAATATTTCCCCAGTTGTCAGATGGGGCTCTGGTTTAAAAAAACAGAAAAACAAAAAACAAAAAAACACACAAAAAACTGCACAGTTAAAATGGCCCAAGCACTCCCAAGATATTCCAAAGGCAAAGAAAGATGGAAAGAGAATAAACAAGAAAACTCCAAAACCAGATTTGTCCCTGGGGCTATCTCACAGCTTCAAACAAACAGTTCCATTACTCCACGGCACATCCATGGCACACAGTCATCTTTTATTTATAATTGGGAAATACGATAAGCATATAAGGAGAGGTTAAATATAAAGACGGAGCTTAATGACTGACAGAGAGCCCATGTCACTACAGCGTGGGACAAGAAATGGCATGGTGGTGGTGGTGGTGTCGGCGGCGAATGGCATCCTGCCGCCACGTGTGGTGCACAGCAGGAAGACCACAGCAATGGGAAAAGGTCCGGCCTCCCTCCAGGACTGAGATTTATTTCACGGATTAACCAAAAACACCGACTGCTGAGCCCGGGCAGAGCAGTGGCCGTAAGGGAGCAGATGTGGGAAGGGGTGCCTGTGGCAGCAGCCTCACCGACTGCTCCTTCACAGAAGCAGGTGCGAGGAAGGGCAGGGAGCGCTTTGCCTGCAAACAGTGAGAATACCCGGGTGGGAACCAAGGGAAGCTGGAGTTGGACTGTGAGCGTCAGTCCCTCCTGTGGCCCCCTGGGTACCGACGATCTCTCCTGAGCCACAAAGTAACTTCCTGCCCCACCGTATCGCGAGGACAATTCAGCAAGATCGTGAGTTTCAAGTGGCAAGCACATCAGTTCTCACAACGATGGGCCACAAATGCTGGTTCCCTCTCTTCCCACGCTGTCTCTGCGCCCCCCCCCCCCAATCATGCACACAGGCATGCGGTAAAGGCCATGTCTTTAATGTATGATTTGATTATTAACTTTCCTAATCCCCAAATTCTCAAACCTGTTTTTGCAAAAGTGATGATACAAGCCCAATCTCAAGTTACTCTGGTGACTTAAGCACAAAAAAAAAAAAAAAATTAAAAATAAGTTCAAATCCGTCCAGGAGGCCCAGAATTTACCCTCCTGCCCTCTCCCACTCACATCCCTGTCCCTCCCGGACTAATCCCAACAACTGGGCTGGCAGGAAAAAACACCTCACACCCCAGGAGGGGAGCCTTCAGCTCAGCGCTTTGAAGATGAAAAGCAACAAGGTGTGTTTATTTGTCCTTGGTACACAGTCTCGTCTACCTGGGCTGGGCTGCAGGAGCCACTCAGCCAGTAAAAAAAGAATCATCCAATCCGCCCGCTGGCACCAGGAAGCAGATCTTTCCAGGAGAAAAGGTCAACCCATCCCCATGCTCCTGGGAGTACACATGGGGGAACCGTAACCCTTTTCACGGACAGAGAGAGAGAAGGTCGGGGAATCTAGTCACGGAGGCGGCCTGGACCATCATCATTCGGCATGCCCAGCTTTCAGCGCACTTAACACCCCCACGGCCACCGCAGGGAGGAAACCTGGCCATCCCATGGCCTGCGGCTCTCGCACAGGATCCATTAAAAAATAATAACTGCCAGCCATCACTTCCCCAACACAGGCAATGCCAACGAAGGAAGGAGAAACCCAGGAAGGTGTCTGAGAAGGTTCCTGAATAACGAAGGCCTCCAAACCGCTCTTGGAATGTCAGCGGCCTTTGAGCCCCACAAAGACCGGGCTCCACTTTGACCCCAGGTTTCTGATCACAGACTATCAACGAGGGCTGGTGTATACAATCTCTCTCGCTTCCTCGACTTCCCAGGGGAGGAGCCAGGTGTAGGATGCGGGATACGAGAGTAGGGACTCCGGTCCCGCGACGGACCCCAAACCAGACCACACAGGCCTCTCCGTGGGCTGGGAACCGGGGTCGCCAGGCGGGCATCAGGAGAAAGGACCATCCCTGTTTCTGGTAACACGTTCAGGCCAAGGAGGAACCCCGGAGAAGAGGAGACACTTAATGCAACACAAAACACGCACACACCCCGACCTGCCCGGGGGGGATTCTAAACAGCAAGTGCCAAGGCCACTGACAGCCGCACGGGCTCCATCGCCACAGATAACGGAAAACCACCCCCTGGGACGGTGAGGCTGCTCTGTGACCCCACCCCATGACAACCATTTTATTTATTCCAGTTCTATTTCACGCGGAGACACATGTCAAACGACCAGCCCTGACCAGAGAAGGACAAAATTAACTTTATAGCTATTTTTACGGACGGGGGAGTTAAGGGGGGGATTCAACCTAAGCAAGCAGGACAACTGGGAGAGGCAAAAAATAGTTTCCACTGAGCCACAAGCAGCTCACTGAGGACACACACACGCACAGGAGCAGGCTCCCGCCTGTCCCTACTTGGGTGTAATCACGGGACACACACTGTGGCTATCCAGGCTGAGAGTGGAAGGTGGGCAGATCTTCACTTCTGAGACGTCCAGGAAACCTACCTGCCTGTTGGAACCGCTCCAAATAATCATGCACTTCAACCAGGGGATGCCATTGGCCCCCTGGAGCTCTCTCTCCCTGGGGTGGCCCTGGAATACACTGTTCAGGGGGGGGGACCCTCAGACCTGGTTACACATCCACAGCAGCCTACAGCACTCAGCCCTCACCGGAAGCCACAACCAATCCATAGATATCTACACAGAGTCCTCCAGGGCTGGGATGATGTCATAGGCAGGGGTGTGGGGAGGCTGCCCAGTGGCCAGGACCTGAGACTTCAAGGAAAGGGAGCTTTCTCTTAGGGCACACCTTGGGAGGGGAGGGGAGGGGTCAGCATGAAAGGAACCTCAACTTCCCCCAACGGCCAAAGCCACCCCCACAGCAAGTAACTGGGAACATTTTTTGGAAAATCAGGCAGGCATTGGATATGTGGATGGCTCAAACGTCAGGCAAGCAAGCTTCTGCTGAAGAAAGTTCCCTGGGCCCCGGTCACCCACTTTCTGGGCATCAGCAACAGCCCAGGAATGACCATCAGGGGCCAAAGGCGGGCGGGGTCTGGGAGGGGCAGCTGACAGCTGTGGCCGGCGGGCAGGGACAGGAGGGGAAGGGCTGCGGGGCTGGAATCCAGAGCGTGCCCACATCAGCAGAAAAGTTCCAGGGAACAGCGGGCTGTCTGGGAGGGAAAGAAAGAAAGAAGCTTGCTGCTCCCGGGACCTGGGGATGCGCTCGCTCACTGCCCTGATGCCCGGTGAAGCGCGGGTCCCCCTCCCGGGGCGCCTCGCCAGCCAGGGCGCCCACGGAGGGGCCAGAAGGCATGGTCCGATGACAAACAAATGATCTGTTCCCAGGACCAGTGGGCAAGATTCACAGTTCCCAGGCCCGGCCGGCCCTGCTTCATCTCTCTCTCTCTCTCTGCTCAAACCAAACACGATCCACAGAGGAGGGAAAGGGAGAGCCAGCCGACCCCGGCCCGGCCCGCCATCCAGGTGGGGAAACTGAGGCCCGAGGGTGCACCCCAGGGAAGAGGCTCTGGGGAGGCTAGCCTGCAGGCAGCAGATGGGATCGGGGAAGCTTTCTCCTCGCTCCCCTCCTCTGCTCCCCAGCACACAACACACACACACACACACACACACACACACGGACTCGCTCGAGCTACGCCCAATCGGGGCCGCCGCCGGGCTCCCCAGGGCCCCGCCGCACAAAGCCCCGCCCGCGCACACAAGACGCGGCCGCAGCCGGCGCGCACGCCCACACAATGGGGACCGCGCTCCGCTCCCCGCCGCGGCCCCGCGCGGGGTCCCGGCCAGCCCGGCGCCGGGGTCCGCCCTCCCTGCACCCCCCCGCCCGGGAGACGCAGCAGCCCGGGCGCGGGGAGGGGGCGCCCGTCGGATCCCCGCCGCCGCGCCCCGGAGCCCCCCGCAAGCAAGTTGGCCGGACGCAGCCCCCCGACTCACCCGCGGCGCTGCTCAGCAGCAGGCACAGCGGCCCCAGCAGCCACATGGCGCGGCCGCCGCTCCCTCCCGCTGCCCGGCGCTCGCTGCCCCCGCGGCCCCGGAGCTGACCCCGCCCCTCGGCGCGCAGACCCCGCCCCCGCGGTGACCCCGCCCCCGCCCCGCCAGCCCGGCCCCGCCCTGCCCGGCCCGGGCCCGATCTGCAAAGTTTTGCAAGCGTCCGAGCTGCACACAGCCGCCCGGAGACAAGCCCGGGTGTCCCCGACTCCGAGTGGCCGCAGAGGGGGCCGCCCTTTCGGCCTCCCGCCACCGCTGCCCCCTACCCGCTCCGGCTGCAGGGACCTCCTACCAGCCCGGGCTCTGCCTCCTCTTTCTTCCCTCTCCTCCTCCCCCTGCTTCTCCATCCTCCTGGGATGCGGCGCTCACCCCCTCCCAGACCCAAGCTTGAGTTCTTGACTCAACCGCAACATAAGTTCACTCCAGGGAGGGGGGAAAAGTTGGAAGGAATGGGCCAAAGATGCTGAGAAAAAAATATCCATTTTATGTTTGGCAGCGAGAGTGGGATGGATGTAGCCCATGGTTCTCAAATTTGAATACGCATCCCAAATAGGTGGGGGTCTTGGTAAAATGCTGACTCTGACTCCGTTGGTCTGGGGTGGGGCTTAAAGTTCTGCTTTTCTAAGAAACTTTTTGGCAGTTTGGAGACTGGTGGTCCGTGAAGCACCTTCCAGGGGTCAGGTTAGCCACGTGGGCTATTTCATCTGGATCCGTTCTATTCAATACTTACACTAGGAGCACGTCTGGGCCCCAGTTTGTAGAAAAGGAAAGTAGATGTATGGCAGGCTCCCAACAGCCAGAGGAACAGCTGCTTCAGTGCATCTGGGCTCCAGGGCGGCACTGGGACCATTCCCAGCAGAGTTAGGTGGTGGGAGAATGCAATGCCACTTCTCTGCTCCACTCCCAGTCCCCACCCACCCCGCAAAAAGCTAATGCAAAAACAAAAATAACAACAAAAAACCAACTGGATACAATTCAAATGTCCAACCACTGGTGAGTGGCTAAACAAATTGTGCTGTCATTAACCACAGCTTGACTGAATCTCAAGCATGCTAAGATAAAGAATCCAGCCCTAAAGGAACATTCTGTAAGTTTCCACTTATCAGACATGGGAGGGAGGGGAGGAAGGGGAGCTGTAAGGACCAAAACCAGATCAGTAGTTGCCAGGGTCTGGGCATGGGGGAAAGCGGTGAGTGCAAGGGGCACAGGGGACCTTTTTGGAGCAGTGGGACTATTTTGCATCTTATTTATGATTATGAGGGTGGTTACACAACTTAGTACATTTGTCAAAATGTGTAGAGCTGCATCCCTAACACAGGTGAGCTTTACTGTATATAAATGGTACCTGTTTGGAGGAATCAGGAGGGTGTAGGTAGGGGGACAACTAAGTGGAGACCACTTAGATGATGCTAAGATTCAATGACTTTACTTTTTAATTGTCTGCTCAAGTCTGGAAACATGGAAGCTAAAGTAGATCAGGTCAAGAGTTAAAAATACCAGTGCCCGGAGAAGGTAATGAGAAAATGTGGTGCAATGTAGGAAAGTTTAGCAAGAACCATATTACAAGTATAAATTAATTCTTCCAAAGATTTAGCATTCCTGTGTTTTTACCCTGGGACCTATGAACGTTAGCGATACTATCCACGGGCTTTGGGACGTTTTAAAGCCCTTAATATTTATGCAAAATTGTGTGGTACATGCATTTTCCCAAGAAACATGTTGGAGCCTTTGCTAATATTATAACACCCAAAAAGGCAAGCAATTTCTCCTACAGTTGTTCATTTGCCTCCTTCCATCAGGAATATGGAAGGACAATGGCCTTGACCCAGTCCTGTCATTCCTGTTTCCTTAGGTTTCTTTGGGCACCCGAACTTCAACTCTGGAAATTATTTAGAGTCCCCACCCCCCTTCCTCTCTCTCTCTCTCTCTCTCTCTCTCTCTCTCTCTCTCTCTCTGTCTCTCTCTTTCTCTCTCTCTCTCTTCTTTTAAATAAATTAATGTCTTTAAAATCATTTAGATAAGTTTAAAGCCCACTTTAAGCTAAACTGTTTTTAGACTTATGCTGAATTATTCTCACCGTATAAGCTGGGCAGGAGGTCTCTTACTTCCCAATTTGGTAGAATTCTAGCAAAAACACAGGATACTGGCTCGGTCAGAGTGGCTCGGTGGTTGAACATCAACCTGTGAACCAGGAGGTTAAGGCACATGCTTGGATTGCTGGTGCAGTCCCAGTGGGGGACGTGCAGGAGGCAGCCAATCAATGAGTCCCTCTCATCATTGATGTTTCTCTGGCTCTTCTTCTTCTCTGAAGTCAATTAAAAATATTAAAAAAAAAAACAAAAAAAAAAAAAAAAAAAAAAAACCCACTCAGGTCTCAGGGAACCAGTCTCAAGTCCTTTTTATGGCTGGTTTAGTAAAAATCAAAGCCAGAGTGCCTTAGGTCTCATTGACCAAAAATGAGCCGCTATGGCCTTGACTGTGTGCTCTGACACAGCTGCACAGTGCTGAAGGAGGGAAGAAAGAATTTTGTCTTTAAAAAAAAATAATATTTTATTGATTTCCTACAGAGAGGAAGGGACAGGATTAGAGAGTCAGAAACATCGATGAGAGAGAAATATCAATCAGCTGCCTCCTGAACTCTCCCTACTGGGGATGTGCCCGCAACCAAGACACATGCCCTTGACCGGAATCAAACCTGGGACCCTTCAGTCCACAGGCCGACGCTCTATCCACTGAGCCAAACCGCTCAGGGCAAGAATTTTGTCTTCTGTCTCTCTGTGGTCTTTGGTATAACGCTCTGTCGTGCCCATGTTCCCATGTTCTCCTCGCGGCAGGCCCGGCAGCACCACGGGTAAAAACAGCTGGCCCCGAGCTCAGGTCTGTCTGAGATGCGCTCCGCGCTTCTTCTCACTTGCCACACATGAGCTCTGTGACCTTGAGCAAGGGATTAGCCCTTCTGAGCCTTAGTGTCCTAACCTGTAAAATGCAGAATCTGAAGGTTGCTGTCAGAATTCAATGAGCTCAAGGTTGGGAAGCCTTTGGCACAGTACCACGCACAAAGGAACTGCTCAAGAGAAGGTAGCTGTGGGTGTGGCTGTGGTTCCGGCTACGAGGCAGCTGCTGTGGTAGCCCATCTCCAAGGTGGCTGTCAGAGATCCTTGCCTTCTGGCATTCATGCTTTGGTATAGTCTAATTCCACATTGAATGGGGCTGGCCTGTGCAACCAGTGGCTCTTGTAGAAGTGACAATGAGCAACTTCCAAGACCGGGTCACCAAGAACATAGCAATTGCTTTCTCGCTCTCTCAGATCCCTCGTTCCAGGGTGAGGGAGCTGCCATGTGGTGAGGGCGCTCAAGCAGCCCCGGGGATAGGCCCTCAGCAGGAGCAACTGAGCTTCCTGCCAACTTGAAAGCTATTGGAATGAACCATCTTGACAGTGAAGCCTCCAGCCCCAGTCAGGCCTTCATATAGCCATAACTGTGGTGAACAATCGTGAGCTGGAACCGCCCAGCCTCTCCCAAATTCCTGATAATGAATGTTTTTCTTTTTATATATTTTTATTGATTTCAGAGAGGGAGAGAGACAGAAACATCAATGATGAGAGAGAGTCATGGATCAGCTGCCTCCTGCAGGCCCCACCCTGGGGATTGAGCCCGAAACCTGGGTATGTGCCATGACCAGGAATTGAACCGTGATCTCCTGGTTCATAGGTCAATGTTCAACCACTGGGCATGATAATAAATGTTTAGTGTGGTTTTAAGCCACTAACTTCCAGGGTAATTCAGTATGCAACTCTATCTATCTCTATCTCTCTGTGTTTCATCAACCTATCTATCTGTCTGTCTGTCTATCTATCTATCTTACTTGCCAGGCTGCATGTTGTGAATTGCCCTCTAGAAAGGTTCAAGGGACAAGGAACTGTAAAGGTCTCTAGACAACAACCAGTGAGAAATTAATCCACAAAGACCTGAATCCTCCCAACAACCACACAGGTAAGCTTGGAGACAGATGGGGCCACAGTCCGGGCACAGCTTGACTACAATCTCATGGAGATCTCAAGGGGGACCCACCCAGCCAAGTGGTGTGCAGATTCCTTAGATTCCGAAAAACTAAGAATTCAAATGCTTGTTGTTTTAAGCTACAGCGTTTTGAAATGATTTGTGACACAGCGTTAGAGACCAATACAACAGTCTTACCCTGAACATGGAGTCTGTGAACACGGTCTCAGTCTCCCTTCCCCGGTAGCTGAGGAAGGCAGTGTGAGAGAACGATCATTAAGGAGCAGACTTGTGTCTGCTTCAGACACTGTACATTTATGATCAAATTTATCTTCAGGACAATCTCCAAGGTAGATATTATCCTCCCCTTTGCATAGATGGGAAATCTGAGGCCCAGAGAATCTAAGCGACTGGCCCAAAATTACTCAGGAAATAGCTGAGATTGGAAGCCGGGTCCTTTTGATTCCAAAGGACTCCATGTCGCCATTCGAAACCTGCAAAACCACTTCCAATTCATAAAACCCAGGACACATGTGCGGCTGGCAAGCTAATGTGCTTACTGGGTTTGGGGCTAAAACAGGTAAAGATGCTGGGCATGTCGAATCAAACTTGATTTATTATGTAACATAGTTCACCTCCCAGGGAACTTTTCTGGCTATATCTAGTTATTGCAGTCCCCACCCCCCAAAAATGCTGAGTATGGAAGTTCTCCCAGCTAGAAATTAAACTCATCCCATAGCTGCCAAATGTATATATATATTTTTTTTTTTAAATTGTCAGACTAATCTACAGGAAAATACTGCTGGGAAGCAGCAGAGTTCTTGTAATTCATGTTTAATATAGTCACTCACTTGCAGAAGAGATCTGCTGACATTTATTAATGAAAATTTTGCACCATCTGAAAGGATGGAATTTTTACCCCTTCATTTCAAAACAACAGGCAGCCTGTGATTGATTTTAATGCCTCAGTTTTACTGCCCCCTGAATGAAGTTGTCTACACCCTTAAAAGGGTGATTTTTCACTTGTGACCAGTCTTGGAACCAAGAAACAATGAT